TCCCAAACAGGTAATGTACCATCCATTTTTGTGAGTACAAATTCAACTAGTATAAGTCCTTGGATCATAGATTTCGGGCTAGTGATCACATGACATGAAATTCTCATTTTTTCCTCAACTTACACTTCTTCAGCAGGAAATAAAAAAGTTAGAGTTGTTGATGATTCCTTCTTAGCAATTATTGGAAAAGGGATAGTCAAACTAACTCTTCTTTTGGCTTTTTTTTTTTTATGTCCTCCATGTTTCAAAATTGTCTCATACTCTTGTCCATCAACATATTGACTCAAAATCTTAATTATCGTGCCATATTTGACTCTATTTTATGCGTATTTCAGGATAAAGTCTCGGGGAGGATGATTGTCAATGTTAGAGAGTCTAAAGGTCTCTACTTTCTGGAAAATGAGGATAATTAAGTAAATTTTAGTTCAGCTTGTTTGATCTCTGTTCAAATTGATAATAAAGTCATGTTATGACACTATGGACTTGATCATCCTAGTTTTCATTTTTTGAAACTCTTGTTATCTCAGTTGTTTATGAATAAAAGTACATACTCTTTAAGTGTGAATTTTCTGAAATGGCTAAACACAGTCGTTCATCTTTTTCTTCATAAAAATATCATGCCATGAAACCTTTTAAGTTAATCCATAGTGATGTTTGGGAACCTTCAAAGATAGCATCTGTAAATGAAAAAATGTGGTTTGTGAGTTTCATAAATGCTCACACTAGACTAACTTGACTGTACATATTAAAAGATAAAAGTGAAGTAAAACATGTGTTTGAGGCTTTTTATGTGATGGTCGAGACACAATTTCATGAGAAAATTAAAATATTTCAATGTGATAATGGGAGAGAGTATTTTAATGACCATCTAGATAATTTTTTCATTTCCAAGGGAATAATGCACCAAAGTTCATGTCCTGATACACTCCAACAAAATAGAGTAGGTGAGAGTAAAAATAGGTATCTTATGAAGGTAACCAGAGCCTTAATATCTAGTGGCGGAGCCAGAATTTTCGCCAAGGGTGTTCATACTTTATGACAAGTAAAAAAATAAATCTTGCTAGTCAGATTATAAAGATTGACTTCAAAATAGTCATACCTCAATATCAAATTAACCAACTATCCAAAATAAAAATTCTTAAAACAGAAACTTACAAAATATCAATGAATAAACTAAGGAAGATGAAGTAGGACAAATATATTGACGGATA